CCAGTTGAGTTGAAAAGTTACTTCACATGGGTGGCACATAAATTACGATCTAATCTTTGTATGTGTAGGTTAGATTATTGAAACTTCCAATTTTTACTTAACTTGAAATCTTTTCACTTTTGGTGACTTGATGGTAAGAGCACAATGGTTAAAACATAAGTTCTTGAGTTGAGTCTCCACATAATCCATAGAGATAACCACTGAGAGATTTATTAGTCATCAATTTCAGGGCCCAAATATTAATTGAGGTGCATTAACTATGTCTAGACACATTCGGTTAACAAGTAAAAAAAAAAAAAAAAAAAAAAAAAAAAAAAAAAAAAAAAAATTTCCCTTCACGACCATTGATTTAAGATTTAACCAAGCAAAGTTAAAAAATATTGTACAAATTGAATGGATGCTAACTCAGAAAACATGGGTAATATAACAAGGGAATCTATATAAATCAAATTGTATAAAAAATTATATATTTAATTTGTATATATAGTAACTTCATGTCATATGGGTGTGTTTGGTTCTTGTTTTATAAATTTGAGAATAATATTGGGTATTGGTAGGGGAGTATTACGAGGTAAAATTTAAAAATTATGAAAGTCCCTAGGTTTGCTATTTATTAAACACCCTAGTATACAATGACAAAAACCCCCTACCCCCGTAGTGCCAATTTCGGCCACCCCCGCCAGAATCTAGCCAGAAATTTTGTACGACACAACGGTCGAATTGTTTCGTAACACGTCGCTATGCTTTCCTAGATCTGGCCGAAAAGGCCAGATCTACGGCCAAATGTTGCCATCACATCGAAAAGGCCAAGAAGTCCTATTTGGCGTTCATTTTCGGTCAACAATGGTAAGATTTGGCCGCGTTAACCGTTCACGACAGTCATTTCTAGTGACAGCCAGATCTGGTCTTTCCGGTAGATCGTGGTGGATCTAGCCGGAAAGGCCAGATCGGTGAACTACCGGTCGGTTATGGTCGTGGTGTAGGCCGGTGTACAGATTTTGGCTACCACTGACTGTAGTTGCCGAATCTGGCAAGTATAGGTTTGATGGGGGTGTTTTTTAGTTTTTAAAACTTTTTTTTCTGAAGGTAGTTATGCAATTATAAACTTAAGGGGTCTAAAAGTATTAAAAAATAAGTAATATTCTGGAATAATGTCCAAACAATATTTGCAGAATAGGATTATGAATATAGGTATAAATGATGAACAGCACACCATATATATTCTTTTTCTTTCAAAATTTGGGATTTAGGCTGTGTTGATAGGTATATGTAACAGATTTGTCTGGCTACTAAGAATGTTAGTGGCGACAACTTAGGATCTTGCTGGTTTTTCTTGCTTGCCCATTGGGGTAGAATAGTGGCTTTTATTTAATTTTAGAAGACTTGATAAAGTCCAAGTCTCCCAGTGGATAGACCTATTGTCTGAAGACTTTAAATTTTATGAGCATTAAATTTAGATACAATGAATTTTGCTACTATTTGTCAATTTTTTTTTCATCCACTCATCGTCATAATCTATGAATATGAAGCCCTGTATTGACTTAGAGAAAACTGAGAAGACTTAGAAATGTTAAGTAGTGCAATATTAAATTAGTTGAGTAGAAAGGCTTTCGATAATGAGCATCTCTAGCTCGTTATTCTTCCAATTACCGTATATCATTTTCAATTCAAATGGCAGACAGCTCTACAAAGGTTAAAAGACATTGATTACTTCAAAGTCTTCTATGCAATATTAATTCAATTTCCAATGAGAATATGTATATAGCGTAACGAGAGAAATACAAAGTATTTTTCCAGAGAATATAGTTTGGCTTACATGATTTGTAATTTAAAAATCCTTTTCTTAATGCTGATAGACAGTTGGAGAAAACTGCAGAAGAAAAATTAGAGAGAAGAAGAAAAGTCATCATATCGTACAAATATGCATTCCGGGATCTTCTTTATTATTTAGCTCCAAATCCATTCCTACAATCATAATTCATTTTTCCACACCAAAATGTAGAATTTATGTTATTGTGGCCATTATTATTATTATTATATTATTGTTATTGTTACTATATTAATAACTTTTCACATCAGTTACTTACTTATTACTTGTGACTTCTCCCAGTCAGTAGTAACTTCTCTATATACAACCTTTTCTTTGATAGATAAGAGAAAATACTATTCGTAATATTTTTACATAAAAATATATTACTAGAGGAGGAATAGGTCACTAGCCTACAAAAAACCTGTGATTATCTATTATACTGGATAAAATCTTGGATGACTAGAATTAATCCCAAGTGTCTCCTACATATTTGAAAATATGCTATGGTTAGAGGTATGCTTAGGCTTCCACTTTTGATTATTAAATTGATATCTATTGTTTTTGTTTGGTATCAGCAATATCTCTAGTTTGGTATCCATTTCCTTTCAATTTAATTTATGAATTAGGTATGTCAAGTTCCAATGTTTGATTGAAATTGGGAATTAGGTTTTGAGCAGTTACCTATATTAATTTGGTTTTGATTTAGCAATTTGGAATATATGTTAAAATCTTATTCTAGTTTATGGGTAATTGCGAATCTGCGGTTGGCTAGTGCCTAATCTGTTTTTTATTTGCAATATAGTTATATAATTCTAAATTATCGATTAGGATTATTCTATATTATTTTGGTAATTGTTTTTGGTAAAATCTAATTGGGGGATTAATGTCCTTATAAATATGAGAAATAGCTTGTGAATTGTACAAAAAAAAAAAAAAAAGGGGAATTAAAAGATTGAATATTGCATTTGGAGTTCTGGGTAATAAGTATGGTATTCGGGTCGGATATTCAGTTACAAACCTGACAAAAGTGATCGACCGAGCTGAGAAAATGACGTCATTTCCTTGGGTCTGACTTTTAAATAAAAAAAAAGTTAAGTATATCTGTACTGTTTGGGACCCACGATCTCCAGTCGCGAGGTTAACATCCGATTAACTGACCAGGGCACAGGCCGCCTGACTTATTGTTTGATGTAACACGAAAATCATATCATATGTCTGCTGATTGCTTTTAAACAGTATGCCAAGCAGCTGAAGAGCCGAACTCTATTGACCAAAATCGAACCCACGGCCTTCGCGGTGAAGACCAGACATCCTGACCCCTGGACTAATTCATTTTACATTCTATTTCGTCATTTTAACATTATTACTAGTTTCTTCTTAGGATTCTATGCATAATTATTTTTCTAGCATACTTTAGTTTCCTAAATAAAGGATTGATAATTGATATTGTTTACTTAATTCTTTTGTGGTCATACTTAGTTTACATTTGAGTAATTAAGGGATAGCTACAAACATTATTATTATGAAATGTTAGTGACATTAGTTTAGTCCCATAAATCAATGACATCAATAATTATAATTAAGCGTGAAAATAAAACATATTCAGCTCCCCGGTATTTGATTATTTCAGTGTTTGATTAGGATGGGGTATAATAATAATAAAAAAATCTAGTTGCCCATAAGTCTAGATTTTTATTTTATTTTTTTAAGGATAAAATGCTAGTCCCATCATGAAATAATATAAATTGCTTATGTGTTATAATCAGTGTCCACAGGAAAGATTATAATAACATGTTGATTTAATTGTTTGGATTAATTTACATGGCTAAATAATCCATATTTGGCTTCATTGCATGTTTTAGTAAGCTTGTTGTTTATTTTGTAGTTGTTCAAACTTTATTTGTTCTGAATTTTGATTTCTCTTATATTATTCATCTAGTAGTGATAACTATGTTCTTTGAAAGGAGAAAATTCTCTTGGCATTAGGGTGTATGGATCTTGATTTGGCACTTTGGGTGGATGAATTACCAAAGCCCACGGAATCAAGCACCCAAGATGAGAAAAACATCATATGATCTTTCACTACAATAAAAATGGCCTATGGTAACATGCAAAAAGTGTTACCAAAAAGTGTTACCATAGGTAATTCGTAGCATTTATAAGGATGCTATCACAGCCAGTGTTACTAAAAAGCAGACATTGGTAACACTTTTTGCATGTTATTAATCATTTCAGTAACTGTCATAAAATGTTGTTGTTAAGTATATTGTAACACTTATTCGTAGTTACGAATGATTTTTAGTAACATTGTATAAATGCTATAAATAAGTTTTCTGTAACATTCTTAACCTGTTACAGTTTAGTTTTCTGTAGCATTCTCAAAATACTATAAATAAGTTTTCTGTAATTTTCTTAACATGTTACAGTTTAGTTTTCTGTAACATTCTCAAAATGCTATAAGTANTTCTTAACCTGTTACAGTTTAGTTTTTTGTAACATTCTCAAAATGCTATAAATAAGTTTTCTGTAACTTTCTTAACATGTTACAGGTTAGTTTCCTATATCATTTTCCAAATGCTATAAATAAGTTTCCTGTAACTTTCTTAACCTGTTACAGTTTAGTTTTTTGTAACATCTCAAAATGCTATAAATAAATCTTTTGTAATATTCTTAGCCTGTTACAGTTTAGTTTTCTGAAACATTGTTAAAACGCTACACAAGAGTTTTTAATAACATGTTAAAAGTGCTACCAAAATATCATTCATTGCATTTAGTAAATGTTACAAAATTATTTTCCATAACATTTTGAAAGTGTTATCAATGTGTCTGTTATAGCATATATAAAATTGTTATAGTTATTTAAATAATATAAATTATAAACAATGATACACTAATTTTCCAAAGAGCATTTCATTGATGGTGAACCTTCATATACAAAAAGTTTGCATATATGCCTAATAAATAGGCACCCAACATCCTTTACATCCATAAAATCTAATATGCTTTATATATCATATCACATTTTGTAACATATAAAGCTTCATATACAAAAAATTTTATATATGCCTAACAAATATGCACCTATCATTTTTACATTATAATACCTAGATGATTGGAAAATTAACTATGAGTAATAGTTAATACCTTCCAATCATTCAAAAAATTCTAACAACAAAAACCATCATGCATACCATCTTCCATTCCAAATTGTGCTTTACCAAAAAAGTACTCTTGCATTTTCACAACCTACAAAACCATTAATACAAAAAAATCTTCAATTCCCATATATATTCTCAAATATGACAACACATATATTGTAAATTCAAGAAAAGATTAAGACAAAAACACCCCAAATATTTAATGCAAAAAAAAGAGGAAAATAACATATTTAAATCTTCAACTTCACAATCACTAGTTCTAAAAAATGGCACCATGCAAGCTTAATAGAACATGTTTAAATATTCAACTTCACAATCACTAGTGTAAAAATGCCAACTGCAATTTTACAGTTTGCAAACTGCAGTCTGCAATTTTACATACTACAGTTTGCAAACTACAGCCTGCAATTTTACAGACTACAGTTTGCAAACTGCAGTCTGCAAAATGCAGATTGTAGTTTGCAAATATGCCGACTGCAAAATTACAGACTGCAGTTTGCAAACTATAGTCTGCAATTTTGCAAACTGCAGATTGCATATTGCAGTTTGCACACCGTCAAGAATCTTTCTTCACTCAATTAAATAACAAAGAACACATTATTATGCTATAGTACAAAACCTTTAAAGTTTTACAGAGACAGTAGATTGACCTACTTAGATATATTTCATGTCATGCTACACAATTTAAATAAAAATAAAAACTTCTGAAGATAGATCAAAGTCTATACATAAACTGTGTGTTCATACAATTAAAACATTGAATACATATATACCTCAACATGAGAAAATTTAGATACTAAGATAATGCATACCTCACCAGCAGCTACACTAATGACATGAAGAGTATAACCTTGCCCAGAATTTCCTGCATCCAATAGTTTAAAAGAGCAACAGTAAGTTTCTAAGTTAAACCTGAATAAGAAATAATGAAGCCCAAGTCGTATTTGAACTATACAGCATATAAACAAAATACACCATTTTACATGGGCAAAGTAATGATAATCAAGAATTCTTAAGTGCACAAACACGAAATTAGGATCAGACTAATAAGTAGAGAAACTGTGCTTCAAAAGCTAAATTAATATTCTTAGTTGCTAGGGAATTGACCAGATACAAGTAATTCGTGATTTCAGAAGGAAAATTAGTAGCCATAACCATCTAAAAATACCTACAGTAAGCCTTAAGATACAACATAAGAACAAGAATTTACTAAGTTTTCCATGCTAGAAATGGAGTTTTAAGAACAATTCTTAATAAGATATCTACAAGGAATAATTAACTTCTATTCGGACTCCAAAATCCAAAGATATATTTATGATATGATTAGAACCTGAAGGATGAAGAACAGAATAATAAATATCTACAAACAGGTTATCAAGGTTAAAAAGGAGGCCATGATAACTCCCAACCATCTGTAGTGTCAAGTTCAAAATTATTATGACAAGGAAATTAAAAATAAAAATAGAAATAAAAAACCACAGGTATTTCAGTCTATCAGTGAAAGCATAAAGGAGAGCCTCCTCGACCTCTTCTAGTTTTTCAATACCTCTTAAGCCAAGAATCACTCCCCCATACGTCTTTTCTCAATATTATTATTGCAAATGAAGACAAAGAAGAAAATTGACTTTGGTTTGCCTTTTGTTCCATTAATTTTAACAGACCATTGTGACATAAAAGCTATATGTTTTTCATTATTTCAGCTACCATATTATCATAAGAGAGAAAAGTAAAAGAAATTTGGCATCAACAATGAGATCAGATTGCATCTCCATCATGCAAGGGTCCATCCATGATGACTAGGCAAAAATTCTGAACTTGAAAAGAAAAATACCGAAATTATTTACAGAAAATAGAAAAAGAGAAAAATAAGCACACAAAGTTACCAAGCCATCACAACTTACCTATCCATAGAGTCCCCAACCAAAAGTTATAAGCAGTGCTCCAGCATCTCATAGGGCCAAAAATTATTTATGGAAATAACCGTATCAGTACATCTAGAAGTGAAGCATATGAACTGGATAGATAAAAAAAAAAAAAAAAAAAAACCACACACATTGAGTCTATTTCATTTTGAAAAAATCCTAATTTAAATGTGCTTAACTTTAAAGTTAAAATTAATATCTTGTTCAGCAAAAATGCCTAGGTTTTAACATCTAAAGCTGCAAATCTAACTGTAATCAATATAATCCTCACTGAATTAACTTAGCTTATGTTTCAAAAGGAGGAAGTATAACTTGCAGCGAACCAGTTACATCAGACAAATACCTGATTTACTGCACAATGTCGCCCTCACAAGCAATTGCCTCACATAATTTCCAGGAACTCTAAAACCTGGTCCCTCAGAACACATGCTTCCCCAAGAAAAGGTGGCAGATCTATCTTTCATGTAAGAGGAGGACTCAATGCACGGTATAGGATGAGGAGAGAGGACCAACGTATCCGGGAACCCAAACCAAGCTGCCCCTCACCTCCATAGCCCCAACCCACACCTGCCCTATATCTGAAACTTCAGAAAATTAAAATACATCAAATCTTGCTTTAACGAGGCGTTCCAGAGACACATAAAGTGTTCCCATAATTTTCTCAAGTCATTCTGGAATCAATAACTATTTAAAACACATTTCTTTCAACTCATTCAAATCTGTCCCCGTTTCCAAAATTGGAGTTACTGACTTGAAAAATTCATAACAATTCAGCCCTCAATCCAAACCTCATGAAACTCTCCAGAATTAAACAGACACATATAGGATGCACCAGAATTTAAAATGACTCAATTTGGATAAGAATATAAGCATCAAATCATTTTCCAAAAATACATGTTCTGCAGAAAACGAAAATTCCAGAATTCACAAGGCAACTTCAAAAATCCATACAAAATTCAATCCTTTGAGTTTTGAGTGAAATAAATTTCTAAACACTCCTCAAGAAATTCAGTTCACAGGAAAACCCAAAACATACAAAAAATTTTCGGAATTCAGATGGTAAGATTTTTGTAGACTAAACCCTTATATCAAAATCACATCTTTAACCAAATTTTGTTAGGAAACACATTTATATTCTACCCAAATCAATTTATTGAAATCAATCTCCCTATTCTAGTTTTGTTTTCATGAATTTATACCAATCATAGACAAAAAAAACAAAGAGAGTTCTTTAACCAATTGAATCAAATCACCAAAAAGGGGAAATATCAGCTTTACTCACCTCCCATTTGCTCAATCTCCCTTTCTTTTTCGATCACCGGAATTTGTGGCCGGCGGCGACTTTTCCAGCCGCTTCCGTCGTTCTTCTCTCCTCCTCTCTATTATGGTTCCATCTTCTTCCTTTTTCCTTTCTTCTTCCTCTCTTCTCTTCTTTTTCTTTCTCTCTTTCCTCCCTTTCCTTTTCTCTTTTCCCCTCTTTCTTTTTTCTTTCCCCGTTTTTCTTTCATTGAATGGTCACTGTCACAAATTTCTGAAAATATTTATTAGTCCTCACTTATTTTGGTAATTCCCTTGTACTCCTCAAAACTTTCAAATTATTATACTTTACCCCAGAATCACAAAATAAATTTAATAAAACTCCATAAAAAAAAGTATGGGGTATTACATTGCAGCTGAAATTTAGTGAATAAGTAAAATTGCAAAAGTGGCGTGAAAGAAGATAAGTGAATGAGGTATTAGGTTTTTTTTTTTTTTGGGGGGGGGGGGGGGGGGGGGGGGGGGAGAATTTTGTTTGGCGGGTATACAAGTTTTTTTCTGGTTAAAATTTAAGAAAATGGTAATACTTTTAGGTGTTATTATATTTTGATTTAGTAACACTTTTAAGTGTTACCATATTTTAATTTAGTAGAATCAATATTATTTCAATACACGCAAATTGCCTACGGGCCGGGAGGCATTGCCCTCTGCACCCCTACCCATTGACCGGGCAACAAGATTCCCGAATGCGTATAGGTGACCCCTAATTGTTGAAGTGGTGGACAACTCCAACACTTGGGAGACGAAACGACACCAAAAAGTGACGAAATCACACCGAGAATTAAGGTGAAGAGTCAAGACGGTGAAATAGCTTTTTCAGGCGAGATTTCCAGTCAACCAAGCTTGGGGAAGGTGGATCTGACTTTAGGGAGTATGGACTAGCCCCTAGGATGTCTAGAAGTTGCCGAAAAACTAAGAAATTAAAGTCATCAACAAGATGAATGGTCACAGATGGAGGAAGCTTAATGGTCGTTGGAATCCAGGAAGGTCTTACGTGATGATGGCCAACCGTTAGAGAAGGAAAATAGTCGTCGAATGTGGAAGTTGGACGGTCTCTGGAAAATGGATGAAGATGGGTGGATGTTTTTGGCTTTGCATAACCTTCCATCTTTCTTTTATACTATTTGTAAAAACATTTTAGTTTGGTCCGTACATGAATGAGATGTAACAAAGTAAAGCCCAAATAGTAAATTTGACCCCTAAACAATAAAAATGAGACAAAATCAACCTCATTTCATATTGGCGGGAATAATATTTTGTTTTCCAGTAAATAATTGGGTTTATGGTAACACTTATAAAATATTACTCTATTTTGATTATATAGTAACATTATAAAAAAGTTACTATATTATTAGGTCTATTGTAACACTTTAAAAATGCTACTGTAGATATATTTTCCATAACATTTAAGAAAAAGAGTTACCATTGACATAAAATGTGTTACAAAAAGTTAAAAGTGTTGCATATAAAAATTGTTATCGTAACATTTTACATCAAGTATTACCATAGATAGTCTACAGTAACACTTTAAGGAAAAGTGTTACTGTCCAGTGTTACCGTAGGCCATTTTTGTTGTAGTGAGATCAAAGTTGGATCAACGACCTGGATCCAACACAAATTAATTCAAAAAACACAGCGTTTCATTAGTCTCCAAAATTGCATCGTTTTAGTCTTCACTTCAACAATCTCCACCTTGAAGACTTGAAATCCAAGCAGTGCAGCTTACTCTAAACCATATCCCTCATATCTCTAGGCCACTTCTGATTACTCCACTGACAGCAACTTCAAGTAGTGCTTGAACTTTGTTGGTATAATGATTTTTGTCCCCATATCTGTTGGATTTTCTTCAATGGCTACCTTCTTCAATTCAACTACTCCTTGGGCAACTAGGTCTCTCACAAAATGAAACCGGACATCTACATGCTCGGTTCTTTCATGATAGACTGGGTTTTTGTTGAGATGAATCGCACTCTGGCTATCAAAGTAGATTGTGACATTAATATCAGATAAGTTTGCTTCTGATAACATTCCCTGCAACTATACAACCTCCTTAAACACATCAGCTATGGCTATATACTCGGCCTCAGTTGATGACAATGCTACAATGGGTTGCAACTGTGATTTTAGCTTATGCAGTTTCCACCAAGTGTGAAATAGTTTGCTGTTGTGGATTTTCAGGTGTCCTTATCACCTGCAAAGTCAAAATCTACGAACCCCACCAGATCAAGCATAGCAGTTCTTTTACAGTATTTTAAACCAACACTTAATGAACTATTAATATATCTAACAACCGATTTCAGGGCAGTCCAATGATCACTCCCAAGGTTGGACATAAATCGGCTAAGCAAAGATATAACAAATGATAGGTCAGGTCTAGTACTTATCATTGCATACATAATATAGCCAATCACACTAGCATAAGGGACAACATTCATTTTTATCATTTCAGCTTCAGTTTTTGGACATTGGTTTTTACTTAGCATAAAATGGTTTGCTAAGGGTATAGAGACAGACTTGAGTTAGCCATTTCAAACCTATTCACCAGTTTTTCCAAGTAAGTCTTCTGTTCAAGTTTTAACTCAGTACTCCTCATATCCCTAGATATAACCATGCCTAAAATTTTCTTTGCACTCCCTAAGTCTTTCATATCAAATTCTGAACTAAGTTTCTTCTTTAATTCTTGTATTTTGGACTTAGATTTACTTCTTAGTAACATATCATCAACATACAACAAGAGATATAAAAGTAGGTCCTCATCTAAATCAAAATAGAAGCAGCTGTCATATCTACTTCTTTTAAAACCTAGTCCCACTATGAAAGTATCCAATCTTTTGTACCATTGCCTAGGGGCCTGTTTGAGGCCATACAAAGACTTATGTAACAAGCATACATGATTTGGCACCCTATAGTCAATGAAACCTATAGGCTGACACATATAAATCTACTCATCTAAGCTGCCATGTAGGAATGCAGTGGTGACATCAAGCTGTTCTAATTCTAGATTTTGGTAGGCAGTAATAGAAAGTGTTAAGACTCCTTGTAACAATGACCAGAAAACAACACAAATAATCCAGAATAACAAATAAAAGAGTTCATTCAATCAAGACTCAACCAGAATATATTTCTAAAGAATGGAAAAAGAAACACCTACACAATTGGAAACCAAAACAGATCAATCCCAGCAATTCGAGGAGCTGGGGACCTCCCACAGTGACACTAGAATAATATTCGTATGCTACCCCAAAACTGACCCCTGTATTTATACTATCTCCTTAACTAACATATTCTCTCTACTAACAACTTTGATTCCCCACCAACACGTGACAGTAGTAGCCAATTTCCCCAACAACCAGGCACCTCACACTCCTTACACTTACTGATCCAAATGTCCCTTATGCCATTTGTATTGATAGACATTTTTAATGGGAGGTCTATCAATACCCCCAACCCCACCCACCCCCCCTCCCCAATGAAGAGCCACCTTGTCCTCGAGGTGGAAATGAGGAAATTGCAGCTTTATAACATCAGAAGCCTCCCAAGATGCTTCAAAGGAAGCCAAGTCTTTCCATTTTATAAGAACTTCCCAAGAGCCATCTAATAAAGTGTGGACTGCTAACACCGATTCTGGTTGAACAAGAAGTTCCATATCTTCGGTGAAGAAAGATGGCAGGGGTTGGATGGGTACAAAGGTGTGCAGACTTCGTTTAAGCCGAGAGATGTGAAAGAATGGATGAATTTTTGTCGTAAAAGGCAGCTCCACCCTGTAAGCAACCTGCCCAATCTTTTCTAGTATGGGAAAAGGACCATAAAACCTAGGGCTCAGCTTTTCATTCAGTTTTTTGGCCAAATACTTGAAACGATATGGTTGGAGCTTCAAATACACCTGGTCTCTCGGTTGAAAACTAATATCTTGATGACGTAGGTCAACTGTTTCCTTTATCTGCTCTTAAGCAACAAACAAGTTATGCTTCAACTCATCCAATATGGAATTTCGTGCAGCCATTTGCTGGTTGACTTCTTCCACTGAGGAAGGGTAATCTGTAAATTTGAGGAGAGTGGGTGGATCCCTTCCATATAGAGCTTTGAAGGGAGTCATTTTAATGGAGCTGTGATGTGTGGTATTATACCAATATTCTGCCCAAGACAACCACCTATGCCATTGTTTGGGCTCCGAACTACAGAAACATCGCAAGTAAGTTTCCAAACAGTGGTTGACAACCTCCATCTGGACATCGGTTTGAGAGTGGTATGCAGAACTGAACTTCAACGAGGTGCTAGCGGCCTTGAAGAGTTCCTGCCAAAATTGAATGATAAAGATCCTATCACAGTCCGAAACAATGGACTTTGGAAATCCATGGAGCTTCACAATATCAGAGATAAAAATAGTAGCGACATCCTTAGCATTGTAGGGATGGCACAGGGAAATAAAATGACCGTATTTAGTGAGCCTATCCACCACAACCATTATAGCATCCTACCATTTTGCTTTTGGTAACCCTCCAATGAAGTCCATGCTAATATCTTCAAAAACCTAGGATGGAATGGGTAAGGGCTGAAGGAGACCTGCTGGTTTGAGAGCAGAATATTTATTTAATTGACAAATGGAACACTGTTGGACATACTCCTGCACATCCTTCTTAATACCGTCCCAAAGCACTATATTCATCAGTTTTTTATAAGTTCTGAAAAAACCCGAATGGCCCCCTCCTGGGCTGCAGTAAAATTCTTCCAATAGTTTAGAGATGAACTTCGAATTTTTGGGTAAGACCAACCTGTTTTTGTAGATGAGGCAGCCACGACGAAAGCCATAATGGGGACGACTGGAAGGGTAAAAAAGAAGTTCTTGGATGATTGCTTGGAGCTTGGGGTCTTGTTGTGCTTCAGCTGCGAACTCATCAAATTCTGAAAATTGGACCACCGAAATGGCCTCCAATTCAGTACCCTCTCCTCATCTAGATAAGGCATCAGCCACTTGGTTGGAGCTTCCAGGTTGGTAATGGATTTCGAAAGAGAATCCTAGGAGCTTAGAAATCCACTTTTGTTGCTCGGGTGTCTTAACTCATTGATCTGTCAAAAACTGTAGGTTGCGTTCGTCATATTTAATGATAAATTTTCTCCCAGGTAGTGGCTCCATTTGTGGGCAGCAAACATAATTGCCATCAGCTCCCTTCCGTACCCTGACTTTTGTCGGGACTGGTTGGAGAAAGCTTGGCTAAGGAATGCAATGGAGCGCTGATTCTGGACCAGGACAGCTCCAATACCTTGTCCCGAAGTGTCTGTATAAACTTCAAATGGAAGGGTAAAATCAGGAACTGCCATAACAAGAACCGAAGTCATTGCCACTTTAAGGGCTTCAAAAGCTTATTGTGCTTGGTCATTCCATGCAAAAGAGTCCTTTTGCAATAACAATGTTAAAGGTTGTGCGATTAAACTATAATTTTGTACAAAGCGGCGATAGTAACCAGTTAACCCCAAAAATCCCTATAATCCTTTGATTGTGCGTGGAACAGGCCAAGTCAGCATTGAATCAATCTTCTGTGGGTCAGCCTCTACCCCCTTTGATGAAATTAAGTGACCCAAATACTCCAATCTCTGATGGGCAAACAGACATTTCTTGTAATTTATTACTAATTCATGCTTGGTGAGGATTTGAAAGGTTTGTCTCATGTGGAGCAAATGAGTCTTCAAATCAGAGCTGTAAATGAGGATATCGTCAAAAAACATAAGTATGAACTTCCTCAAGACCGGTTTAAAGATGGTATTCATTAAAGCTTGAACGATGGAAGGGGATTGGTTAATCCGAAAGGCATGACTAGGAATTCATAATGCCCTTCGTGAGTCCTAAAGGCTGTTTTGGGAACATCCTCTTCTTTAACCCTAATATGGTGGTAACCTGATTTTAGATCCAGTTTCATAAAAATGGCTGCCCTTGATAGTTCATCCAACAGTTCATCAATTGAGGGAATAGGGAACTTGTCGGGGATAGTGATGTTATATAGTGCCTTGTAATCTACACAAAAACACAAACTACCATCTTTTTTCTTAACCAACAACACAAGACTAGCAAAAGGACTGGTACTGGGTTGTATAATTCCTGCCACTAGCATCTCACCCACCAACTTTTTGATTTCATTTTTTTGGGAATAAGAGTATTTGTATGGGCGAATGTTAGGAGGTTTGGCATTAGCTTCTAAGACTATGGCATGGTCAGTGGTTCTCTTAGATGGGAGCTTAGTAGGCTGTTCAAACAGGTGGCTAAATCCATCTACAACTGCAGCAGCTGTCGGATCAATAGGATCCTCTGTTTCCTCTCCCTTGACACCAATGGAGAAAAACTCAATCAGATAACCCGCATCCTCCCTCTGCAAAGATTTTAGCATTGCCTTAAGTGACACAACCGTCTTGACTAATGATGGATCCCCTTGTAAAAGCACCCTCTTCCCTTCACTGATAAATGCCATTGTTAGATTTCTCCAATTAGCACAAACATCACCTAGTGTACTGAGCCAAGAAATTCCCAACACTACATTTGCCCCTCCTAACTCAAATGGAAAATAATCCTGGGGCAATTCAATCCCTTGTATCCTCAATTGCACCCTTCTGCAAATACACTCCCCTCTGACTGTAAAGTCATTCCCTACCATAACCCCAAATGATTTCCCTTTCTCCACTGCCAGACCTAATTTTCGCGCCAAATCATGCGAAATAAAATTGTGGGAAGCCCCATTGTCAACCAACGCAATCACCTCTGCCTCTCCAATCATCCTTTTTAGTTTTAGGGTTTTATCTATGGTTACCCCTACAATTGAATGCATAGATAAAGCCAATCGTTTACCTTCGTCAGAAACTTCCGAGATGGGTTCAGGAGTGACTTCGTCGTTTTCCGTCTCATCATCGTCGGTCACTAACAAGATCTAGATGACTTGTTCCTACATCTATGGTTTGGCCCGAAATTCCCATCACAACGGAAATAGAAACCTTTTTCACACTTTTGCTACAATTCAACGTCGGACATTCATCGGAAAGTGTCCTCGCGAAAGTTCGGTGTTATGGTTTCGCTGGATCGATTTCTATCATGAAATCGATTTGGGAAAAAATTGTGACCTAATTCTGGGTTTCACGATGGATTGACCCAAGAGTTTGGGCGACCAGGTTCTAGGCTTGGGGTGACCCGAGTATTGGAGTCCAACCTATTTCCTTGGGCTTTAGCAAACCTAGGCCTGTCCTTTTCCAAGACCAAGTTTCTTTCCTCCACGCGATGGGCTTGATCCATCAACGCAAAAAGGGAAGTGGGCTGAGTCAGACGAATTTCAGCTTTGACTTCCTCTTTTAGCCCATTTGTAAACACCCCTATCAGTATATCTTCTCCTACCTCACGTAAGGCAGTTGCATGAACTTCAAAATTTTCCTTGTACTCCGTCACTGTACCAGTCTGCTTCAGTGCTACCAGAGCTTCATAAGCTCATCCTTTAAATGATGGTCTGAATCTCTCAACCACTGCAGTCTTAAAGTCTGTCCAGGAACCAATTGGTGCTCTGGACTCCACCCAATGATACCAATTAAGGGCACGACCCTCCATACACACGGCGATGGCTGCCACCTTTTCTCCCTCCTCATATTGGTTCACCGTAAAATATCGGTCAGCTCTGAATGTCCAACCATAAGGTTCTTTCCCGTTGAATATAGGTAGTTCCAACTTCTTTCCCTTCTTCTCATCCTTTGAGTTCTCTACCTCATTGTTCCTATCGACTCCCCTATTGTCACTACTGTTGGAAGGCTCATAGTGGGATGCTTTCCCCTTATCATGGCTCAGATTTGCATCCCTTTCTTCCCTTAGCCTCATCCACTCGCGAAGCTCTAGTAAGTAGCCCTTAATGCTCCCTAGCTCTTCCCTTATAGTCCCCATTTCTTTTTCTACGTTCCCCATTTCCTTTTCCAATCCTTCAACTCTATTCTTCATCTTTGATTTAACCATTACCCAAACGAAGCTCTGATACCAATTTGTTAAGACTCCCTGCAACAATGACCAGAAAACAACACAAACAATCCAGAATAACAGATAAAAGAGTTCACTCAATCAAGACTCAACCAGAATATATTTCTAGAGAATGGAAAAAGAAACAACTACACAATTGAAAACCAAAACAGATAGATCCCAGCAATTTGAGGAACTGGGGACCTCCCACAATGATACTAGAATAATATTCGTATGTTACCCCAAAACTGACCCCTCTATTTATACTATCTCCTTAACTAACATATTCTCTCTACTAACAACTTTGATTCTCCACCAACACGTGACAGTAGCAACCAATTTCCCCAACAACTAGGCACCTCACACTTCTTACACTTACTGACCCAAATGTCCTTTATGCCATTTGTATTGATAGACATTTTTAATGGGAGGTTTATTAGAGAGCATAAGTTTAATGGTTTTATATTTAACAAATGGGGAATAGACTTCATTGAAGTCTATTCCCTCTCTATGGGTATAGCCTTTGGCTACCAACCGGCTTTATACCTAGGGGGATCAAAGGCTGCAATTCCATCTTTTATCTTATAAAGCCATTTAAATTGTATAAGTTTCTGGTCCTTGGGTTTAGGTACCAAGGACCAGGTTTTGTTTACCTCTAATAAGTGCGTCTTTTCCCTCATTGCTGCTTTCCACTTGTCTTTGTCTTTGGACTTCATGGCCTCTTCATATGTTTCAGGTTTTGTCCTTTGGACTTCTGTACCTGCAAGCAAAGCAATAAAGATTAAATCTGCATAAGAATATTGTGCAGGTGGCCTTACCTTTCTTCTGGTTTTGTCTCTTGCTAATTGGTACTGCTGTAAATCAGTTATTTGGGGTTTTGAGATTTCTTCTACAGCTTCTTTTTCTGGCTATTCAGGTTCTGGTTGATATGTTTCTCCTTCAGTTTGAGGATCTAAATCTGGTTGGATGGGGTTAGGTTGGTGTATGGTAGGCTCCACCTCAATTTGTGTGCTTTCATTGGGGATGGATGATGTCTCAGTATTTTTGGGTGTTCCTAGGTCAATGGCAGTGGCTTTACAAGGGAATTCACTCTCATTAAACACCACATCTCAGTTAACTATAATTTTTACCCTTGGAGTTTCCCTATCCCACAATCTATATCCCTTTGTGCCTTCTTGATATCTTAGGAATATACATTTGATGGAGCTAGGCTCAAGTTCCCCCTCAGTGTGTGCATAAGCTACACACCCAAAATTTCTTAGGTGGCTTAAGTCTAGTTTCCTTTCATATCATATTTCTTCAGGACACTTCCCATTAATGGCAATGGATGAGTTTCTATTTATTAAGTAGGTTATAGTGGCTAAAGCTTCCCCCCAAAATGTGTTTGGTAGTCCTGAGGTGAATAGTAGGCACCTAACCTTTTCTAGTAAAGTTCTATTTATTCTTTCTGTCACCCCATTCCATTAAGGGGTCCTAGCAACGGTTTTATGCCTTAAAATGTCATGCTCTCTATACAAATTATCAAACTCAGCATTGTAGAACTCTAACCCATTATCTATTCTTAGGGCCTTTACTTTCTTACCTAGCTAGTTCTCAACTAATACTTTCCACTCCTTAAACTTGGCTAAGGCTTGATCTTTGGTTTTCGGGAGAAAGGTTCAGACTTTTCTGCTATAGTCATCTACTATTGATAGAAAGTAATTTTCCCACCATAGGATTTGACCTTTTCAAGCCCCCAAAGGTCAGAATGTATGTATTCAAGGCAGTTTGTGGCTAGGTGAGTTCCTTTTGAGAAACTCAGTCTATGTTGTTTTCCTAACACAGTTTTCACAAAATTTTAGGTTTGAGATTGAATCCTTACCTAATACCCCCTGACTGTTAAGGATATCCATACCCTTTTGACTTGTATGCCCTAACATGTGCCATTTTTAAGTTGCAAATCTTTTGTTAGAAAGCAGGGCAACATTAAAACATTCAGGATCAAAATCACCGCACATAATGTAAAAATCATTTCTCTTTTCCCTTTTAAGAATCAAGTTTTGGTTTTTATACACATTAAAACAACCATTACTAGTCTTATAGGAACATCCAACCTCATCTAGGGTCCCTAAAGTGATGAGATTTCTTTTTAAATCAGGGATATACCTAACCTTGGTTAGTTTTACAAGTTTTCCATCAGTTAGTCTAAGGGTTACACTGCTTATACCCTTAACACTACAGGCCTGATTGTTTCCTATGTAGACAGTCTCATTTTCATGTGTTTCTAAGTCCTGAAACCAGTTCTTGTGTGGACTCATATGAAAGGAACAGCTTGAGTCTAGGACCCACTTCTTGGCAGTGTTAGATGTTGACACTGTCAGGACCTTAGGTTCATCCAATTGGTTTTTACTAGAGGTCAAATTACTTTCTGTGTTTCTGTTTATGTTTCTTTAACCATTCAAAGTAGTTTTTCTTAATGTGATAAGGTTTGTTACAGAAAAAAAAACTTTTGTTATAGAAAAAAAACTTTCTTGATTCAGTTTTTGCTTTGTTATTACCCTTTCCCCTTTTCTTGTTCCTAGGCCCCTATTGATACTGATTATTCTTTCCTACTTTACTGGATTTAGGCCTACTTTTTACAAACAATTACTACCAGACCTTGTTTGGACTTTTAACTCTAATTCCCTAGCTTTAAGTCCATCTACAATCAAGTCTAGGCTAGATACAGTTTCTGAATATTGTAAAGCATTCTTGATACTTGGTATTCCTCAGTCAACGAATTCAATAGGATCATTGCTAGACTGGTGTCCCCTAATTCTTGGTCATTCCTTTAAGGATTAGGGTCATCTTTAGAAACTCATCAAGATTGTCCTCAATGGACATAGTATTATCCATTTTGTATGAAAATAAGGCACCCTTTAAAACTGCAAGATTAGGTGCCGACTGTAATGAGTACAAAGTTTCGAGTACCCTATAAGGCTAGAGGAGTTTCTAGCCCATCTACCTTCCGCAGGACACTATTAGATAGGTTCATCACTATGAGATTGTATGCCTCCTCGTTGATCTCATCATTCTTCTTCAATTTCTCCTCTGGCCACTTTGTTGCGTCCTTCTCTAAAGCAATCCCCACTTTGTTGTGGGAAAATAGTGTCTTCATCTTCTTCTTCCAACTGCCGAAGTCAATATTTCCATCGCATTGTGTAATTTCCAATCGTGTGGTTGACATATTGTAAGTGTTTGTGTTTAATTTTGTATCTATTTCAAGAAGCCCTAATTGAAACCCTAGACAGTAGCAATTAAAGGATTCCTTAAAAGATTACCGAGTAAAGAACCCTAATTCTTCCAAGAACACCTCAAATTGATGATTTAATGATAAGAGCTTGAAAATACATATTTTGTTAGTGATTCAATTGGATTATTTGTGGGAAAATGTGTTTTTAATGTGAAATTTGAGTTAATTATTTCATAAATAATTTTATGGGATCACGAGTGTATTTTGAGTATTTTCAGGTTAAAAAAAATATTTGAATAAAGAAGAATGATGTCAATGGATTTCATGACGAGTAGGAACAAATGGTGCAAGAATCGAAGTTGAAACGAGAAAGTTGTGACGTGTTGAAGATGAAATGTAAAACCTGGAAATTCTTCAAGATGAGCATGCTTCGATGTTTTGATCATAACTTGAGCTGTAGAAATCGGAATTCGATGATTCTTATGGCGTTGGAAATATTATTAAGAGAGCTACAAAGTTTTTTTTGATGACTTTTCCAGATTCTAAATATTCCAAACGCATGGGACAGAAAGAATGATCATCGCAGCGACCATTTCTGTAGCCGTGGCAATGGATCACGAGCTTGTTTGGGTTATTGTATTTTCCTAGTCCGAATCTGAATAGTTTAAGGCATTTAGTTCTTTACTAATTAACCTCCAAACCCTAGCACTATAAATAAGGGTCTTTATTTAGTTTTTAGGGAGGTTAGAGAAGGAGAAAGAGTGGCTACTATTTTGGAGATCAGAATTCTTGTAATTTTCATCACCAATTAGAGAAGTTATTCTATTTTTCTTTCTTGAACTCATGTTTATTAATACAATGGTTGTTTTTATTACTACAATTATGAACTAAATTCATTTTCTAGGGCTAAAGATGTAGCCCAATTTATGAATATGTGTTGACTTTATTGTTGTTAATTTTAATTGAACATTAATTCTAAGTTTTATTATTGTGTGTAATGCTTTCAATTCTTAAGGCCCGAGAGTTGAATGATTTTATGGGTTATGTTGAGATTGAGAGGTGAAACCTGATTAGTCTAAGGTAATAAAATCATAGATTGAGCAAACGCTAAAGATAGGTTACTGCAATTTGTGAGGCCTTGGTAAATTCCATAGAACTTAATGAACTTTTAGGTTCTAAATCCACTTTAGAGATATTTTGGGTTGTTACTTAAGGGTTAATTCGTTAATTGTTTGAGAGAAAGTTAGTAAAATATTAGGGAGTTTGGCCTATAGAATAAGCTTGATTAGGTTAGCAATAATTGTCAATGCATATGATTAAATTGGTTTAAAATTTGTGCCCTAGGTTTTGTCTTATTGATCTTTTCACCAAAGTATTTATAAAATTCTGCTTTTGTTTAGTTTTTAGTTTGTTTTATTTTTCATTAAATTATTCTTAAAATTCTATTTTATCAAATAGTAATAAAATAGACTAGTTTGGTACTTGGTAGGTAGTTCTGTTGGGATTCGACACTCGTTTACTCGAGCTTTGCTACTTGCATGATTTCGTACACTTGCGAATAGCCTGTCATTTAACACCCTAAATCTATACTCCTAGGACTCTAGATCACTAAGGAATGACTTAATTTGAAAAGCCCCAAATTTCAACAAACCCTAGGAATTTCCAGAAACCCTAGATTGTTCTATGATTCACCAAATCGATCAATCCTAACGCCTATTAGCTCTAATACCACTGTTGTAACTAATTAACAAAAACACACAAACCAATCAAGCACACAAACCACAAGAAAATCAAGAACAACCACAACACAGATTTACCATGGTTCACTTATCCAAATTGGATAAGCTACATCAATGTTGAGCTTCAGAAATGGGAGAGCTCGCTACACTACTTATTAGATCAAGATCCAAACAAGAACAACTACAAACCCGATCAAACTCTTAATGATTACAAGTAATCCTCACTGTAACTAATCCTAGAGACACTCACCAAGAATCCCTGAGAATAAGAGCAAAGAGCCATCCTGATTGACTAACAAATTACCCAATCAACCCAAGTTATAAAGATTTCCCAAATCAACTGAAACCCTAACAGAGAGAAAAATGAGAATGCAATGTTCTTCAATAGAGACAAAACGCGTGTGAATAATGACTGTACATTGCCCTTTTATATCGTCGACTCAATGAAGGATCTCAATCGTCAGATCAGAGTTGGATCAACGACCAGGATCCAACACAGATTAATACCAAAAACACAGCGTTTCATTAGTCTCCAAAATTGCATCATTTCAGTCTTCACTTCAACAGTAACATTGAGTAACTCAAACCAGCAACACCATGAAATTCAACTTTACATTTATCTTACTTTACTTTTTAAAAGGCTCAATGCTTCGTTTCATCATAACTTTACACCACCAAAAAACAAGACCTCAAACACACTTACAACATCAATAAAAAATCACCAAGATTGCTATGGATTCATGCTTATCCGCCAATGCATGTAGGAATAGGAGATGTTGTCTCTTTGTCTATATTACTCAGTGAAGAGACCCAATTTCCCAAATAAAGAATATGAACAGAATAACAGCTACAAGCACATTGCGAATATATTCTGAATTTGTTTTATGGTCCAGAAATGGTGTCTCCAGGGAACTGAAACAACCCTCTCTGTTGCTGCCATCAGATTGGTTGGATATAAACCTCAAACTTTTTTTCGAATTAATTCTTTGAGCCTTTTTCCACTCTGCCCCAAACTTCACAACAGAGTTCTCCTCCAAGGGTAGATAAAAGCCATGCTCTGCTGCTCTCCCCTGCAAACAGAAATAATGCTAAGTGTATTTCAAAATAATTACATAGACTACATTCAACATTATGAGGTTGCAATTCAAAAGTCTCTGGAGACAAATTATCTTCCTGTTCTCCGTGCTGCTGCCATAAATATCCTTACCTCATACTTAGATATTGCTTTTTGTGAACTTTTAGCCCACAATTGGAGTGTTCTAGGAGAACATTCTTTTTTAATGAAGTCCTCCGATTTTGGTAGATGTTGAGCTTTGAAGGTTCTTTTGCTAATAGGAAAATCATCATGGACCAAATGAATACAATTGATCTGAGGATAATCCGCAGCTGAGTTGACAGGTCTGAATGAGCTGTCTCGATCTGGAGAGGATGGAGTTTCCAAATCTTGGCCACTCTGTAACATATAGATATGAGCGGACAAGTAGTTATTCTTTTTTTGAATAAGATGTCTAAAATGAAGAATCAAATTCTTAAAAACTATGGCAGCCAGAATGCAGCAAAGCAGAAGTCTTGGCTTGAGCCAGATTTCATGAAAACAACTCAAATTCTCATCTTAAGATCTTTCAAGATTTTAAAGAATATAGGACAATACCAACATTGTAATAATATCCACGAATGAAGCATCAGTCATCATAGCAATATATATTAATCTCCTATAGAATTTAGCCACAACCCAGTAGCTATTGGAGAATATTCTCGAATCATGTAGCCACAGGAGAAAATTACTAACCTCTTCATATAACTTTTCATTGTCTTTGTCATGGATGAGAGTCTTTTCCCAGTATCCATCCTTGGAAGCCAATAGTGACTTAAAGAAGTCATCTTCCTGCGAACTAGAGCCAAACTCATTAATAGACAAATTAGAATACAAGGATCCATGCTCCTGGTGCATCGGCAACTCCGGTGCAGAGAGACGGTTGTGATCAAATCCAATAGAGTCGAGTGGATCTAATTCTACTGCAGGTCGGTCGTGGTTTACCTATAGTGCAAATCAATATACACAAAGCATCAGATATACGAATGTTTCTCAGGCTCAACAAGCAAAGTTAATGAAAAATCAAGGTGTGCTTTTTTCTCACCTGAGGACCTGTATTTTCCACAACATAATTTCCTGAGTCAGATTTAGAACTGCGACTTGGTTCTTTAGTTTTAGATTCATTACCCGATTTTCTTTTCAAGCGCCAAAGAACAAATTCTTTCTACAAAAGTTAACGGTCAAATAAATAAATAAAGCTCATCATACATCTGCAATTCATATTATTTCTCAGTAATAACTATTTTTCATTAAAACCCAATTAGATTCACGATCTTACCAAACTAATTTTTAACAGAATCATATTACAACCAAAACATCCTTCATTTTTCATAATATGCATTAATACCATTCTTATTAAATCCAAGTAAGATGTAAATGATCAAGATAGAAATTCCCTGCCTCAAACAACGCATACCGTTTAAACCAAGATTCTAAATTAAGCATCATAACATTTAATTAAATTCAACTGAACATGCAAATGTAAATTGGCAGAGATTATTCAAACATATAATTCACTAGGAAAGCAGACACCCATAATCTGTAATAAATTACAAAACAAATCAAAAAGGACAACAGACTAGGAACTTGAGGGGTATGAAAAGTAAAAAAGAGAAAAATAGAAAAGAAAATGCCTGATAAAGAGGGGCGTTATTGGAATGATACTCATGTATGACCCAGTTGGTCTTGACCCCATTAGGAAAACGATGTAAGTAGAAAACCAAATTCTTTTTTATGCCAATCACCTTCGTCCCCCGATCGTCCCATATGGGACGATCCTTACCAGTGACTTTCCAGTATCCGGCCCTGGTTGCTCTATTGGTTCGTTTACTCTTAGCATACTTGTAAGTAGGTGCATTGAAAAAGTACCACATTTCATTATCAGGGCGAGCGGAAAGGTCTGCATGCATAGAATAAAATATAAATACAAATTAAAGCAGATTGTAATGTTCACAGACATCTCCATGTCCATCAATTTTATTTATACAAGTGAGTGAGTATTGTGTTGGTGTTTAGTTTACTTACCAGGCAAGTCCCATGGTTCGTATTTGAGAACATCAACTTCGTTAATACAGTGGACAGGGAAATCAAGGCCACCCATCTTCCTTTCAAGATAATACAAGATGATTTCTTCTTCTGTGGGACGAAATCTCATCCCCACAATTTCAATTTCTTCGCTCATTGTTCCTTAAATTTTAAAGAAAATAACCGTTATAGAGCAGAGAGATTAATCGCAAGCTATGACAGTCTTGCTAAACAATAAACAGATGAAGCAATTGATCACTAACACCTTTATATATAAAGTATTGACTAAAAGATTTCATCATTCGTCTTTCAAGTTAGGCCTTCACTACGAAGCTACTTCAGATGATTTGAAGACGTGATCCCACGGTGAAAACCATTTTTTTTTTTTTTTTTAACATGTTAAAAATTGTTTTACTTTGGATTGAATGAATAATTGCAACAATCAGGTCCGTTTGTTTATCGTACCCAAAATATACATTTCTTTTTCTATTATGAAAATCTTATTTTATTTTATACAATTATTTTTAAATGTTAAATTAACTAAAAATCTCAAAAAAAAAAAAAGTTTAGATATTAACAAAAACACTGTTATCCACCTGCATTTTTCAAATTCCAATCACTACCGTTAAAAGGTGGCCAGAATCTGGTATAATGATGTATTACCAATTAGATATGGCCAGTAGTGTATCGATCTCTCATTTTCCGGTCAGATCTACCGCGAATCTGGCTGAAAAATGCTAGATTTATAGCCAAAGATTTGGTCGTTGACAGCCAGATCTTTGGCCGTAGTTGATCGTCAATGACGGTCATATCTTTGGCCATCATTAAAGACCAAACATAGTTAGATCTGACCATAGATTTAGTTTTTTACGATCAAATCCACGGTGGATCTGGTTGAAAAAGGTCATCTCAACGCACGATCAACTAGATCCAGTCGATCGTGCGCCGATATGGTGACTCTGGCCACCCTCCGACGGTGATGGCCAGTATTTAATGGATAGGTGAGAGTGTTTTTGTAATTTTTAATGTTTTTATTACAATAGTGTTTAGTAAATTATCAAACCTAGAAAAATGTTTTTATTAATTTTTAAATTCTACCTCATTATTCCTACCAAACTTTTACTTTTTCAAAAATACTATCCAAAATACTAAAATAAATGGACAAAATTCTTCCCAACGCTTTTTTTTTTTGGATGTCCTCGTCCTTCCTCCACAATCCACATTCTTCTCGCCTCAGTGATCTCCACATCCTTGACTTCCTCTGCGCCCTTCACAACCTTCTGGCGCCAACCGCATTCTTCACTTCCTCGGCTTCCACTATTAATTCATCTTCCACTGTTCTATTACCCAAAAGACTATTAGATGATCATGTCTACT